CCACATCCTTTCACACCTGTCACAGGCAGCCTTCAGATGCAATCACTGCCACATCAGCTTCCAGAACCACAGGGAACTGCTGCAGCATCAAGACTTACATGGACACTCTGGGAAGATTCACAGAGAGAGTGACAGTGAAAACTCCCCAAGAGGAGGAGAGGATAGTCTGCAGGCGGCAAGAGCGGAACTGTCAGGCAGGAAGGATATAGTCATGCAAAGTCCCAAGAATACACCCAACAAGGCCAACAGTCCTGATGGAGAACTTGAAAGACCTGAGAAAAAACCTACTCTGGGACTCCAGAAGGGGGACAGTCACCCAGGAAGCAAGGCAAGTTTCTCTTACACTAGAATCAAGTCAGAACCCTCTAGTCCACGGCTGGCGTCCTCTCCTGTCCAGCACAACATGGGCCCCACCTTCCCAATGGGTCCATTCTTGTCGCAGTTTGCATTCTCCCAAGACATTTCTGTGGTACCACAGGCATCTGAGATTCTAGCCAAAATGTCAGAGCTAGTGCATCGTAGGTTACGCCATGGAGGGAACAGCTACCCTCCCGTCATCTACAGTCCTCTAATGCCCAAAGGAGCAACTTGCTTTGAATGCAACATCACCTTCAATAATCTAGATAACTACTTAGTTCACAAGAAGCACTATTGCAACAGCCGCTGGCAGCACATGACAAAGTCCCCGGATTTCTCAAGTGTCCCTGACAAGGTTTCCGATGCCATAAGTCCAAACAGTGGCCACACGTCAGTTGGTATGCTCCCAGGATGCCTTCCATCAGATACTGACAGCCATGTAGTGACAACGGCTTGTTTGAATTCATCCGTTTTGGATATTATGAATGCTGGTGGGAAAGTGCCTGAAAAGGAACTTACTGGGCAAGTAAAGAAGGTTACTACACCAACAGGAGTTGAGGAAAGGCTTGGCGGTAAGCAGCCTGAGGTGAAGAGTCCCAGCACATCATTGGTGGATGGTGACAGTGACCCAAACAAGACGACCTGTGAAGCATGCAACATCACTTTCAGCCGACACGAAACGTACATGGTTCACAAGCAGTACTACTGCGCCACTCGCCACGACCCACCCATGAAACGCATGTCCGCAAAGGTACCTGCAATGCAGCGGACCATGAGAACACGCAAGCGGAGGAAGATGTACGAGATGTGTTTACCTGAAGACCAACGACAGCCCATGGGGCCACAGCCAGGATTTTTGAGTCTGCACACACTAGGAAATCCCTGTACATCCCAGGAGACGGTTGAAAATCTGGCTGACCGCTTTCATCCACGATGTGACATCTTTCCAGGCCTTGTCCCAAAACACTTAGATGCTTCTCTTACTATCACCAAGTCCATCCTAGCCCCAAAAGGTAACACAGTCGCAGATCCACAGGAACTAGACGCTCCGATAGATCTCAGCAAAAAGTGTTCACCGCTTCCTGACAAATCGTGCAACTCCCCCAAAAGACTCCTGGACTATCACGAATGTACCGTGTGCAAGATCAGTTTCAACAAAGTGGAGAATTACCTTGCCCATAAACAGAACTTTTGCCCTGTTACAGCCGCTCATGGTGAAGTTGGCAATCTGGAGCAGCCCATATTTCCGGGCATGAAGACTGAAGGAAATAATGCAGATGACGTCTATGACAAGAGTTCTGTGAAATGCGAGAAAAATGGAGGCAACAAATTGATGCAAAATGGAGGCATGTTCCCACCACACCTCGGCTCCGCACCGGATCTGAAAGCTTTCGCTGATGCACAGCTAATGTCCTCGAAAGATGAGAACAAGAACATGTTTTTGCCTCACTCTCTCTATCCTGGAGCAATAAAGAAGGTGAAAGGTACCGAGCAAATATCACCGTATTTCGGGATTAAGAGTGGCGACTACATGGCAGGGAGTCTCGTCGTGCAGGCTGAGGCAGCCGAACAGGAGCAAAGCAGCAATGGTGCAGGTGAGCCAGGCACAGAATCACTTGCAGCCAATGGCTGTCCCCATCCCAACAAAGATCCACTGCCCCTGCTACCTAAAAATAGGAGCATGGTGATTGTCAATGGTGGTCATAAAGAGGATCGCCAGACACCAGCAACTCCCCAGCAAGAGAATCAGCCTCACAATACCTCATTGCCAGAGGAACAAACATCTCCCACATGGGGAGCCGAGAACCCTCCCGACCCAAACGAGAATGTATCACCAACTTCTAAATCACCCGTGGAGGATTCGGCACCCGCCGGGAAAGGTATTAATGGGTCGGCGTCGCCAGCAGGCAGTGGGAAGTACTGCCGCCTCTGTGACATCCAGTTCAATAACTTGTCAAACTTTATCACTCATAAGAAGTTTTACTGCTCGTCACATGCTGCCGAGCATGTGAAATGAAACTGCAGTCTTTTCCCCTTGTTCTCCCCTCTTTTTTGGGTACACGGTTGTGAAATAGTGCATCATGCAGTTTTATATACTGCTTGTGGACAATCAAGAGAAGCTTCTTCTTTCGTTATTTGAAGACTTAATGCAAAACGATGAAAAAACAAAAAAATCCAAGTGTAATATTGGTGCCACTTTCACCTTTTATTTATTTTACAATCAGTATTATTAGGAGTAGTGCTCTTAATTTAAATTCAAAGAAAGTTTATATCAGAGTTGTTTGTAATGTTAATGTATAGTCATTTTTGTGTAGCAGACATATTGTTTACAATGTATGTTAGGTTCAAGGAGAAAATAGGCACAGGACACAGAACTGAAAATGCGTTTTAGACCCGACATTAGCTACTGGAGCACTTGTGTATTCTTATTTGCTGGTACAGTTTTTTTGTATATGTCAAAATGTCACTCGCAGTAACGGTTCTCTTGACTTCAGCCTTAAAACAGTTTGGAGGGATAACGCTGCAGCTCATGTTTTGGCATATACTGTACACATGGCTTTGCATATATATGTTGCTGTTTGTCTGTGTCTTTTCTTCGACTCAGAAGTGGATGTTTAAATGAGGATGGCAGCATTCTTGTATAGTACTTGTATTTCTGTTTGCTGATACACCTTGTTCTCCCTTTTTAAAACTTGCTCTCAGCGCAATACTTTGTATAAAACATATGGGGGGGAAACGGGAGGTCTGGAACATTACGGAAAGCAGTATTATAAAAGGGGAAGAGCAGCTATTTCTTACTCCTGGAAAAAAAAAAAAAAAGAATTGTACAAAAAGCAGGTTTATCAATGGTGATTATTGAAGGGCGGGACGAGACAAGGGAATACTGTAAAAAATGATCATTCCAATGTCCTTATGTAAGAAAAATATTTCTTAAAAATGTTGTTGCTATGCATGTATATGGATGGAATAAAATTTCAGATCTGTTGGAAATTTTTATTTTGATGTGGTGTCAATTAAACTTCAATCCTCAGGATAAACAGACTCTTTCATTGTCTTCTTTAAGAAAAAAAAAAGGTTGTTTTTGCAACATTTCTTATTACTTAAGGTGAAAATTAGTTGTTTTTAGCAAGTTAATGCATTTCTAATAAGGCTTTTTAACAAAAAAAAAAACTAAAAAAACAGGCAGTAAAATAATTTCTTGATCAGTAAATCAAAATGTATGATCCACCAACACACTAGACAGATTTCTGCTTCATTAGTAAAATAACTACATTTACGTAAATAATTTGGGTTGGTTATGCATTTATAAAATATCTGAGGGCGGATATTTTATTTAAAAAAAAAAAATGAAAACAAAAATGTTGATGCTTCGAAAAGTTCTTTAGGTTTATTTTTCAATGCAACAGTTCTAATTATTCAGGGTGAAAATTAGATGTTTTTGACAAGTTACTGCATTTTTAATAAAGCTTTTTAACAAAAAACATAAAGGCAGTAAAATAATTTAGTTACCTTTTAATCAAAATGCACAATCCACTAACAAACTAGACAGATTTCTGCTTCATTAAAAAATGACAGCGTTAACATAAAGAATTTGAGTTTGTTATGCAGTTTGATTATGACAAAAATGTTGACGCTTAGGGTTATTTTTCATTGCAAAACATTTCTAACTGATGCGCTTTTGACAAGTTACTGCATTTCTAATAAGGCTTAAAAAAAACAGCCAGTAAAGTATTTTTTATCAGTAAATCAAAATGTGTAATCCACCTACACATATTTCGGCTTAATAAGTAGTAAAATGACAGCATTTAAATAAAGAATTTGGCTTGGTTATGCATTTATAAAATATTTGAGGGCTGATATTGTGTAAACTACAGTACTTACAACAAAAATGTTGATGCTTAAAAAAAGGGTTATTTTCTTTAGGGTTATTCTTCAATGCAAAACATTTCTAACGGAGGCGTTTTTAACAAGTTACTGAATTTCTAATAATGCATTTTAACCAAAAATACAGAAATCTAATATTTTTTTCAGCAGTTCATCAAAATGCAAAATCTATCAACAAACTAGACAGATTTCTGTTTCATAAGTAGAAAAATTACAGTGTTTATGTAACGAATTTGGGTTGGTTATGCATTTATAAAATATTTGAGGGCAAATATTTTATGAGTAAATTACAACAAAAATGTTGATGCTTGTTGACAAGTTATTGCATTTCTAATAACGCATTTTAAACAAAAAAACAAACAAACAAAGGATCAATAGTTTTCTTCAGCAGTTCATCAAAATGCACATTTCACCAACAAACTACAAATTTCTTCTTCATAAGTAGGTAAATGACAGCATTTACGTAAAGAATTTGAGTTGGTTATGCATTTATAAAATATTTGAATGCAGGTATTTTCTAAGTAAATTATGACAAAAATGTTGACACTTAGGGTTATTTTTCATTGCGAAACATTTCTAATTACTCGAGGTGAAAATTTGGTGTATTTGATAAGTTACTCCATTTCTAATAAGGCTTTTTAACAAAACAAAACAAAAAAGAACAAGCAGTAAAATTATTTCTTCAGCAGTTAATCAAAATGATTAATCCACCAACAAGCTACATATATTTCTGTTTCATAAGTAGAAAAATGACAACATTTAAGTAAAGAGTTTGGGTTGTTTATACTTTTATAAAATATTTGAGGACTGATATTTTATAGACAAATTACAACAAAAATGTTAATGCTTAAAAAAAGTTCACTGGGTTAATTTTCAATGCAAAATATTTAAGGGAATTTTTGACAAGTTCTATTTTAACCAAAAACATGGAAACGATCAATAATTTTTTTCAGCAGTTCATCAAAATGCACAATCCATCAACAAATGACAGATTTCTGCTACATAAGTCGTAACATTACAGCATTAAAGTAAAGAATTTGGGTTGGTTATGCATTTATGAAATATTTGAGAGCTGATATTGTAACTAATTACAACGAAAATGTTGATGCTTAGAAAAGATATTTAGGCTTAATTTTCAATGCAAAACATTTGTAATTGAGGTGTTTTTGACTAATAACTTAGTTTAACTAAAAACAAAGAATCGATCAATTATTTTCTTTAGCAGTACATCAAAATACACAATCCACCAACAAACTAGACAGATTTCAGCTTCATACTCAGAAGAATGACAAAGTTATTTGGCATCTTGGATCATTGAAGACAGAAATTGGCAGCTGTGACTGTTACTAAACTCTACATAAGTAGGAAAATTACAGCATTTAATTAAAGAATTTGGGTTGGTTATGCATTAAAAAAAAATATGTGAGGCGTCAAATTGAGGTGTTTTTGACAAGTTACCGCATTTCTAATCATGCATTTTAACCAAAAACACAGAAACAATCAATCATTTTGGTCAGCAGTTCATCAAACTGCACAATCCACCAACAAACTAGACAGAATTCTGCTTCCTAGGCAGTAAAATGACAGCGTTTATGTAAAGAATTTGGGCTGGTTATGCGTTCATCAAATATTTGATTGCAGATATTTTCTAAATAAATTCTGACCAAAATTTTGATGCTTAAAAAAAAAAAGTTCTTTAGCATTATTTTTCCAATACAACATTTCTAACTGAGGCGTTTTTGACAAGTTACTATATTTCTAATAAGGCTTTCTCATCAAAAATACAGAAACAATTAATTATTTTCTTCAGCAGTTCATCAAAATGCACAATCCATCAACAAACTACAGATTCCTGCTTCATACGCAGAAAAATGTTATTTAGCATCTTGCATTATTGAAGATAGAAAGTAACAGCTGTCTACATAAGAAGAAAAATGACATTTATGTAATGAATTTGGGTTATGCATTTCTAAAAAAAAAAATTAAGGCATCAAACTGAGGCATTTTTGATAAGTTGCTGCATTTCTAATAATGTATTTTAACCTAAAACACAAAAACAATCAATTATTTTTTTCAGCAGTTCATCAAATTACACAATCCACCAACAAACTAGACAGATTTCAGCTTCATACTCAGAAGAATGACAAAGTTATTTGGCATCTTGGATCATTGAAGACAGAAATTGGCAGCTGTGACTGTTACTAAACTCTACATAAGTAGGAAAATTACAGCATTTAATTAAAGAATTTGGGTTGGTTATGCATTAAAAAAAATATGTGAGGCGTCAAATTGAGGTGTTTTTGACAAGTTACCGCATTTCTAATCATGCATTTTAACCAAAAACACAGAAACAATCAATCATTTTGGTCAGCAGTTCATCAAACTGCACAATCCACCAACAAACTAGACAGAATTCTGCTTCCTAGGCAGTAAAATGACAGCGTTTATGTAAAGAATTTGGGCTGGTTATGCGTTCATCAAATATTTGAGGGCAGATATTTTCTAAATAAATTCTGACCAAAATTTTGATGCTTAAAAAAAAAAGTTCTTTAGCATTATTTTTCCAATACAACATTTCTAACTGAGGCGTTTTTGACAAGTTACTATATTTCTAATAAGGCTTTCTCATCAAAAATACAGAAACAATTAATTATTTTCTTCAGCAGTTCATCAAAATGCACAATCCATCAACAAACTACAGATTCCTGCTTCATACGCAGAAAAATGTTATTTAGCATCTTGCATTATTGAAGATAGAAAGTAACAGCTGTCTACATAAGAAGAAAAATGACATTTATGTAATGAATTTGGGTTATGCATTTCTAAAAAAAAAAAATTAAGGCATCAAACTGAGGCATTTTTGATAAGTTGCTGCATTTCTAATAATGTATTTTAACCTAAAACACAAAAACAATCAATTATTTTTTTCAGCAGTTCATCAAATTACACAATCCACCAACAAACTAGACAGATTTCAGCTTCATACTCAGAAGAATGACAAAGTTATTTGGCATCTTGGATCATTGAAGACAGAAATTGGCAGCTGTGACTGTTACTAAACTCTACATAAGTAGGAAAATTACAGCATTTAATTAAAGAATTTGGGTTGGTTATGCATTAAAAAAAATATGTGAGGCGTCAAATTGAGGTGTTTTTGACAAGTTACCGCATTTCTAATCATGCATTTTAACCAAAAACACAGAAACAATCAATCATTTTGGTCAGCAGTTCATCAAACTGCACAATCCACCAACAAACTAGACAGAATTCTGCTTCCTAGGCAGTAAAATGACAGCGTTTATGTAAAGAATTTGGGCTGGTTATGCGTTCATCAAATATTTGAGGGCAGATATTTTCTAAATAAATTCTGACCAAAATTTTGATGCTTAAAAAAAAAAGTTCTTTAGCATTATTTTTCCAATACAACATTTCTAACTGAGGCGTTTTTGACAAGTTACTATATTTCTAATAAGGCTTTCTCATCAAAAATACAGAAACAATTAATTATTTTCTTCAGCAGTTCATCAAAATGCACAATCCATCAACAAACTACAGATTCCTGCTTCATACGCAGAAAAATGTTATTTAGCATCTTGCATTATTGAAGATAGAAAGTAACAGCTGTCTACATAAGAAGAAAAATGACATTTATGTAATGAATTTGGGTTATGCATTTCTAAAAAAAAAAATTGAGGCATCAAACTGAGGCATTTTTGATAAGTTGCTGCATTTCTAATAAGGTATTTTAACCTAAAACACAAAAACAATCAATTATTTTTTTCAGCAGTTCATCAAAATACACAATCCACCAACAAACTAGACAGATTCCACCTTCATACTGAGAAGAATGACAATGTTTGCTATAAGAAAGTCTGCATTTTCCAAAGCATCTCACTGCCTCTGTTGGTTGGTCTGCCTTTGCGCCACGAGCTTATGCAAATGTTTGATAAGCGAAGATGGATTTTTGTAGATCATGTGCCGATCCGCCCCGTGAATCTGAATGCGATTTGCATTGGGATAAGAGCGCTCCAAAAACTTGCTCTGAAGTTCGGCGAGCACCTGACGTGGAGGGATGACAGTTAATGAGACGTTCAGCCAAAGGATTTGCTTCTGATTAAAAACTCACTAAAGTTGAGAAAGTGGGCCTGTGAAAGACACTCACTCGGTTGAGATCTGAAGGAAGCTGATCATCAAACGATTCCCCCGTGATCACATGCACAGATGTCTTGCTGGAGAGAGGCTTATATCTGGAGATCTCGCTGAAAAGTCAAGGACGTTCAAACAGCAGGGCAAATTTAGGACACTTCAGACAAGAAGAGACCGTTCATCATCTCAACCAGTTTGTAAAGCAATATTATAACTACACTATATGTGTACACTTAGGTTATTGTTAATTATAATAACTCCAAATTCATTATATCATTGTTGAGTTTAAGGTTAATAATGATCACAAATGAAAATTATTAGGCAGCAGCACTATTACACTGTTCCAGGCTAATATTATTATTACTTTGGAAGAAACATTACATTAATTATAATAAACGTTTCATACACAACAAATCAGCATGTTATAATGATTTCTGAAGGTACATGTGTGTAAGAAATAAATGTTATAAAATACACTCGCCGGCCACTTTATTAGGTACACCTGTCCAACTGTTTGTTATTGCAGGTTTCTAATCAGCCAGTCACATGGCAGCAACTCAGTGCATTTAGGCATGTAGACATGGTAAGGATGATCTGCTGCAGTTCAAACCGAGCATCAAAATGGGGAAGAAAGGGGATTTAAGTGACTTTGAACGTGGCATGGTTGTTGGTGCCAGTCGAGTTGGTCTAGAGTATTTCAGAAACTGCTGACATACTGGGATTTTCACGCACAACCATCTCTAGGGTTTACAGAGAATGGTCTGAAAAATAGAAAATATCCAGTGAGCGACAGTTCTGTGGAAACAAATGCCTTGTTGATGCCAGAGTTCTGAGGAGAATGGCCAGACTGGTTCGAGCTGATAAAAAGGTAACAGTAACTCAAATAACCACTCGTTACTATGGAGGTATACAGAAGAGCATCTCTGAATGCAAAACGTCCAACACGTCCAACCTTGAGGCGGATGGGCTACAGCAGCAGAAGATCACACGGGTGCCACTCCTGTCAGCTAAGAACAGGAAACTGAGTCTACAATTTTCACAGGCTCACCAAAATTGGACAATAGAAAATTGAAAACAAGGTTGCCTGGTCTGATGAGTCTCCATTTCTACTGTGACATTCTGATGGTTGGGTCAGAATTTGGCGTCAAAAACATGAAAGCATGAATCCATCCTGTCTTGTATCAACAGTTCAGGCTGGTGGTGTAATGGTGTGGGGGATATTTTCTTGGCACACTTTGGGCCCATTAGTATCAATTGAGCATCATCTCAATGCTACAGCATACCTGAGTATTGTTGTTGACTTCTGATGATCTTCTGATGGCTACTTTCAGCAGGATAACGCACCATGTCATAAAGCGTGAATCAACTCAGATGGTTTCTTGAACATGACAACGAGTTCACTGTACTTAAATGGCCTCCACAGTCACCAGAGCTCAATCCAATAGAGCACTTTTGGAATGTGGTGAAACGGGAGATTCGCATCATGGATGTGCTGCTGACAAATCTGCAGCAACTGTGTGATGCTATCATGTCAACATGGACCAAAATCTCAGAGGAATATTTTCAGTACCTTGTTGAATCTATGCCATGAAGGATTAAGACAGTTCTGAAGGCAAAAGATGGGTCCAACTAGTAATAAAGTGGCCAGTGAGTGTATTTTAGAATACTAAAGTTCTTTTAAACTGTAATAACACTTCTATGGACAACTGCATTAATAAGCAAAAAGTACTATGTATGACAGATATGCACGATTTATTAAGCAAGTAATAAAGATATTACCCCCACAGAGATAAAAAAAAAGAAAAATGCAAATCAGTTTTCAATCTTGGTTATTATTTTTTTTATATAACAACTAATAATTTCATAACAGCTTCTCAAAGTAATAGTAATAATCAGTGGTGCAAAGTAATAAATTACAAATACCCAAATTACTGTAATCAAGTAGTTTTTTTTTAGGAATTGTAATTTACCAAGTAGTTTTATAATGTTTGTTTACTTTCCCTTGAGTACATTTTTAGTGCAGTATTGGTACTTTTACTCCACTACACTGCAGTCACTACTTTTTTCCCCCCCTTTTTTATGAGGAATGGTTAAAGTAGAAATAACAGGCCTGTGATTCTGGACCAATCAAATAATAATAATTTTGCAGCATAATAAACAATTTTAAAAAATGTTTGGAAAGTTTCCAAGAAAATCTTTACACACAATGACTGTTCAGACTGCCTGTTCAGACAGTAATACTTACAACAGATACTTTACTTGCTCAACATTTTTGGTAATGGTACTTTTACTTGAGTATGACCGCCACTGTTAATAATATTAGTAATAGTAACAACAAAAGCAACTTCATTTTATGTATTTTTTGTAAAATATTTTTTATGAAATAATTACTAATTTTAATAAAAAATAAAAGAATATTTTAAGGAAGATAGATCTTAAGAGAAATAAAACATTATTTGAAGAAAAAACATTGTCAACCTCTTAAAAAACAGAAATAAATGTATTTTTTAAATGTCATGATTTCAATAAAATGAATATGCGTTTGGTTATTAAAATAAGATCAAGGGATAAACAATTTGGAAGAAAAAGAAAACAATCAAAAGAACAGTTTAATCAAAATTGAAAATGTACTCACCCTTAAATTGTTCCAAACCTTTATGAGTTTCTATATTTTGAAGAAATCTTAAAACCTGTAAACATTGACTTCTAAAGGATTTGTTTTTCCTACTATAAAAGTCAATGGTTACAGGTCTCCAACATTTTTTAGAATATCTTCTTCTGTGTTCAACAGAAGAAAGAATATCAAACAGGTTTAAAACAAGTAAAGGTTGAGTCAATCATGACAGAATCTTCATTTTGGGGTCAACTATCCCTTTAAATAGAATTTTTGCCAAAATAAAACAGGATCCTAAGGTCAGAAATCCAAATAAAAGTATATCTATCTATTTTTAATTGTTTGCTTTTTTTATGAAATGTGTCTTACCTGACTTGAGATGCGCTTTCATTGAGGAAGAAATGCTCATCCACTGCAGCGCTCTGGTGGGCAGGGTTACACAGCAGATATTTCTGAACAAAGACAAAATAAATCAATCACAAGCATTATTTTAACTCTTCTCACTGCAAAACTTGCAAGTCAACGCTTCAGATCTCCCTTGATAGCTGAAACGGTTGCATTTACCAAGAAACCACGATGACAGTGTTCAAATATTTTATTCTCCCTCTTTGGTCATTACATTAGACATGCAGATGTAAATGTGTATTTGTGACCTCAGACAGAAGCACTCGAAAGCGTCAAGTCAACACTTGAGTCAATAGCGAACCTCTCCTGAAGAACAATCCTCCATTCTGAGAGACACAGCAGTCAAATTAAATGTCGACAGGCTTTTTTTAAGGGTCACAATTCCTCTCTGTGAGACATGAAAGCATCATGCAGCCACTAATTGCTATTTGATTGTCTGCGTTCTTGTATGAAGAACCCTTTTCTTTTTTTAATTATTTCTTTTTTTGTTTTAAAAGTGCCATAGAATGAAAATCGTGATATACCTAGGCATCTCTAAATAACGAGAGATCAGAACATGTAAATAACATGCCGTGAATCTCAATCATCATTATTTTTAGGCACAGCGTAATATCATTGTGCCTGCTGCAGACATGGCAGAAAAGTTGAGAATGAGAGTTCCTAGCCATATCAGCTTTAAAAACGTTTGTTTTTTGTCAGTCTTAGTTCACAGTTTAATTACAGGAGGGTCATTTTTGAGCTAATGGTCTGATCTAATTCAATAATTTATGCTTAGCTAAGCTAAAGTGCTCCTACCAGACCCGGAGATCCAATGCTATTTCACGTTAATTTGTAACTTTTTGATTTAGTGGGTAATTTGTGTGAATTCAAACAATCTCATTTGTACAATTTAGTACAATTTGCTCAATCCCCAATGATGCTTGGGCTTAGGGATGGGGTTGGGTGCCACGCCTCCTTTTTTAAATCGTACATTTTCAACCGACTAAACTCATACGAATTTGTACAAATTAGCCACTAAACTGATAAAACGTAAAATACTGTAAGTAAATACAATCGTATAATTTAGTACAATTTGCTCATCCCCCAATGATGGTTGGGTTTAGGGGTGGGGTTGGGTGCCGTGGCTTATTTTAAGACTGATACATTTTCGTGCAACTGAAATTACTACAAATTAGCCACTAAATTGGCAAAACATAAAATACTACAAGTACATACAATCATACAATTTAGTACAATTTGCTCAAACCCCAATTATGGTGGTGTTGGGTGCCACGCCTCCTTTTTAAAATCATATATTTTCATACAACTGAACTTATATGTTATACAACTTATTACAATTTGCTTATCCCCTATAATGGTTTGTGATTAGGGATAGGGTGTGGTGCCACGCTTCCTTTTTAAAAATCATACATTTTTGTACAGCTGAACTCATAAATCGTACAATTTGCTCATCCCCTGATGACGATTGGGTTTAAGGGCGGTATTGGGTGCCACACCTCCTTTTTTAAAAATCATAAATTTTTGTATGACTGAACTCATACGAATTCGTACAAATTAGCCACTAAACTGCGCTCTTAGAGCGCTCTTATAAAGATAATCAATGATATACGCCTAAATACAGATTCAGGTAAAATAACAGTGCTGGTATTGTTGGATCTCAGTGCTGCATTTGACACTGTCGATCACAGCATACTTCTGGATAGGCTGGAAAACTGGGTTGGGCTATCTGGCACGGTCCTCAAATGGTTTAGATCTTACCTAGAAGGTAGAGGTTACCATGTCAGTATAGGTGACCATAGGTCGAGGTGGACACCCATGACATGTGGAGTCCCACAAGGCTCGATTCTGGCACCTCTCCTGTTCAACCTTTACATGCTCCCTCTGAGCCAAATAATGAGAAAGAACCAAATCTCCTACCACAGCTATGCTGATGACACTCAGATCTACCTAGCCTTACAGCCTAATGACTACAGCCCCATTGACACCCTCTGCCAATGCATTGATGAAATGAGCAATTGGATGTGCCAAAACTTTCTTCAGTTAAACAAAGAGAAAACTGAAATTATTGTTTTTGGAAACAAAGATGAGGTTCTCAAGGTAAATGCGTACCTTGGCACTAAAGGTCAAACGACAAAAAATAAGGTCAAGAATCTTGGTGTGACTCTGGAGTCAGATCTGAGTTTCAACAGTCATGTCAAAGCAGTCAGTAAATCAGCATACGATCATCTCAAAAACATAGCAAGAATCAGATGCTTTGTTTCTAGTGAAGATTTAGAAAAACTTGTTCATGCTTTTATCAGCAGCAGGGTGGATTACTGTAATGGACTCCTCACTGGTCTTCCTAAAAAGACCGTCAGACAGTTGCAGCTCATCCAGAATGCTGCAGCCAGAATTCTAACCAGAACCAGAAAATCAGAGCACATCACACCTGTCCTCAGGTCTTTACACTGGCTGCCAGTTACATTCAGAATAGATTTTACAGTATTATTACTGGTTTATAAATCACTAAATGGCCTAGGACCTAAATACATCACAGATATGCTCACTGAATACAAACCTAACAGATCACTCAGATCTTTAGGATCATATAAACTAGAAGTTCCAAGAGTTCAGTCAAAGCAGGGTGAATCGGCTTTTAGCCACTATTCCCCTCGCTGCTGGAATCAGCTTCCAGAAATGATCAGATGTGCTTCAACATTAGGCACATTCAAATCAAGACTGAAAACACATTTGTTTAGCTGTGCCTTTACTGAATGAGCACTGTGCTGCGTCCGACAGATTGCACTATCATGTTTTTCTCTTCTTCTTTATTCTTTCATATCACATTTTACCTGTTTTTATGTTTTGTTTTTATGCATTTTTATTATTTGTTTTTATTTTTATTTTACTTGTTTCTTTTATTCTTGTTTATGTAAAGCACTTTGAATTGTCATCGTGTATGAAATGTGCTATATAAATAAACTTGCCTTGCCTTGCCTAAACTGGCAAAACGTAAAATACTACAAGTAAATACAATCGTACAAATTAGTACAATTTGCTCATCCCCAATGATGATTGGGTTTAGGGGTGGAGTTGGGCGCCATGCCTCCTTTTTAAAATCGTGCATTTTTGTAAGACTGAACTCATACGAATTTGTACAAATTAGACAATAAACTGACAAAACGTAAAATAAAATAAGTAAATATGGTTGCAAAGTTTAGTATGATTTGCTCATCTCCCAATGACTGTTGGGTTAAGGGGTGAGGTTGAGTGCACCATCTCCTTTTTAAAATCGTACATTTTTGTACGACTGAACTTGTATATCATACAATTTGCTCATCCCCCGATGACGATTGAGTTTAGGAGTGGGTTGGATGCCACACCTCCTTTTTTAATAATCATACATTTTTGTACGACTGAACTCCAACGAATTCCTACTAATTAGCCCCTAACCTGACAAAACATAGAATAATTAAGTAAATACAGTCGTACAATTTAGTGCAATTTGTCTTTCCCCACTGGTGTTTGGGTTTAGACGTAGGGTTGGGTGCCACACCTTCTTTTTAAAATTGTGCATTTTTGTACAACTGAACTGATACAAAGTTGTATGATTTAGCCACTAAATTGACAAAATGTAAAATACTATAAGTAAATATGATCGATCAATTTAGTACGATTTGCTCATGCCCCAATGACGGTTGGGTTTAGGGGGTGGGGTTGGGTTGGGTGCTACACTTTCTTTTTAAAATCCTACATTTTCAAATGACTTAACTCATATAAAATCATCACTAAATTGACAAAATGTAAAATACTTTAAGTAAATACGACTGTACAATTTAGTACGATTTGCTTATCCCCCAATGAGCAAATTGGATTTAGGGATGGGGTTTGGGTGCCATACCTTCTTTTTACAATCATACATTTTCGTATAACTGAACTCATTCGAAATAGCCACTAAACTGACAAAACATTAAATACTTGCCTTTTCTTGTGAAATCAGGCTGGGAGATCAGCTGAATAGGTTTCACAAAATGGTAAAACTCAACTGTTTCGAAAACAAAAATGGAGTGTTCCTTCAAAAGTGGAGTGTTCCTTTAACTCACAGTGTGTGTGTATATATATATATATATATATATATCACTGTAAAGTCTGATGCATAAAAATGATATTGTAGATGGATGTGATGTTGCCAAATGCAGGACAAATATATAATTCCTAAGCATCTACTCTACTGTAAAGTTGCAAACATAAAATGACACTTTCCCACTAACTACTGTAAAAAGTACCGGACTTCACAACACAAGCAAAGTTGTTCTTGTCTCAAGCAAACATGCAGATATTTTAAAGCTGGTTTTGTTTTGTTTTGTTGAAATCTACCGTTACAAAGAAACATATTGCTTTCGCTTTATGCTTCTAATCTTTCCCAGACAAATGAGACAGAGGTCTTAAAAACACTGCGTCTGTTTTTATGCAGATAGAGAGGAAGGATGGGCATGTATAAAAAAAAAAACACACACACACACACCTAGTCATAACCACCGTCCTGTTGTGCATTAATTATTTCAACCTCCTTATAAAGGCAAAACATTTCTCTAAATCACCTTTCTCCGCTCCTCGGGTCAGCCTTCGATTCATGTCGTAAATGGGAATCTGTAGCTTTTTGAGGGGAAGAGGGGCCATTCAAAATTGTAATAAATGTTTTGCATATTCGTGGCCGCATGTTAACGTGCATGAAATTGGGTGGAACTGGAGCGAAGAGAGCGGCCTCATACCTTGACTGTTTTTCATGGTGACCTGAGAAACCCTGTCTGAAGGCGATCCGCGTCAGTCTGACTCTCACACTAACACAGCCCTGGAAACTTGCTCATCTTAGACAACTGATCATTAAACTGCGTCTCTTGTTCTCCACAAATTCCCTGCCATTCAGCCAGCTGGGAACCAGAGGCAGCTGTAATTTAAGCAACAGCGCCATCAAGTGGTCCTGGTGTAGCAGTTTTATAAGATGGCTTTTGTCTCTGCATCATCAATTGAGCATTACTTTCATCTGTTGACATCTAAAAAAAGGGTGACTTGAATTTGTTTTGGGGTGGTGGTGTCTCATTAGCGGAGATACACAATTGTGTCAACAGCTTACATTGGTTTGTTTATAAAAGTACAGATGGATGGATGGATGATTTTTGTTGTTTAAAAAAAGAGCAGATGGATGACTAATGGATGAATGATTACTTTATTTATAAAAGAAAAGATGGATGGTTGTTTTTTGTTCATAAAAGAACAGATGGATGGATGGATGGATGGATGGATGGATGGATGGATGGATGGATGGATGGATGGATGGATGGATGGATGACTTTGTTTATAAAATAACAGATGGATGGATGAAATTTGTTTATAAAAATGGATGGATGATAGATGGATGGATACTTTTTATTAAAAAATGGCTGGATGGATGAAAGGATGAATTTTTGTTTATAAAAACAGATGGATGGATTATTGTTTATGAAAAAACAGTTGGATTCATTTTATTTAGAAAAAACAGATCAATTAATTTTTGTTTTTAAAAAACAGATGGATAGATGAAGCGACGGACTGACAGACAGTTGGCGGATGGTTGGTTTTGTGTTCATAAATAACAGATAAATGGATGGATGGATGGATGAATGAATGAATGAATGAATGATGTTTTGTTTATAAAAACAGATGGATAGATGAATTTTGCTTATAAAACGGATTGATGATGGATGGATTAATTATTGTTAATAAAAAAGCTGGATAGATTTTTGTTAATAAAAATGGATGGATGAATTTTTTTATTAAAAAAAAACAGATGGGTTGATTATTGGATGGATGTTTCATATATAAAATAACCGATAGATTGATGAATGAAAAAATGAATGAAAATATTATTTTCGTTTATAAAAGAAAGAATGAATGAATGAATGAATGAATAAATATAAAAAGATGGATGGAAGGACGTATGTATAGATCTTTTTGTTTATAAAGAAAAGATGGATGGATGGATGGATGGATGGATGGATGGATGGATGGATGGATGGATGGATGGATGGATGGATGGATGGATGGATGGATGGATGGATGGATGGATGGATGTTTTTTGTTTGTAAAAGAACAGATGGATTGAAGGATGAATGTTTTCTTTATAAAATGATGGATGAATGATTGTTGTTCATAAAACAACATATGAATGGATGGGTTTAACCAACTCATTGGATCTTGTTTAAGTACACTTTAAATAGAAGAAACACCTGAACCTTGAGCTGTATACTGATCTGACACAGTTAACCAGCAAATATTTAAAAATGATCACATAAGCTGCTAAAAAGCAAATTAAACAAACACAAGTGTGTTAAAATATTAAAGTTAGTGTTTAAACTGAGCCCAGTGTACTTTATAAAGTCTGACCTGTCGCTGCAGGAGCTCCTCCGAGATGTGTTCACCCTGAATGAGCGGCTTCAGCACACCCAGAATAATGAGCAGACGACTCAAACCTGCGGCTGCGGAGAACTGCATCATCTGCAGAGATGGGATGAGCTGAGAGTACCTGCAAACACACAAACAGAGGACACAATTATCACACCTATATATTGGTATTATTCAGACGAGACACTGTTGGCAATAACAGAGATTTCTGTTCAGAGATTTCTGTAATTAAAACTTTACATTTTGAGATTTCTGGCATTTCAGATTTTGCATTAAAAATGTACCTTCAAATGTTTCATTTGCTGCATTTTAGCCATTCACATGTGTAGAAGTCAATTACAATATCAATTTTTAAAGGGCATTTTCTCAAAATTATTTTTTTCTCCTGCATTTGGTCATGCATTTCCAGTTACATAACACTTGCATAGATCAAACTTTAAATTTCTATTCATATCTATATTCTGAAGATTTTAACAGTGAGATTTGAGAGATTGTGATTTTTGTATTGTTTTATTTTCTGAGTTATGCCTTTAATTTCATTATTCATTCATTTATTTTCGTCTTAGTCCCTTTATTATTCCAGGGACGCCACAGCGGAATGAACCGCCAACTTATTCAGCACATGTTTTACGCAGCGAATGCCCTTCCAGCTGCAACTCATCTTTGGGAAACATCCATACACACTCATACACTATGGACAATTTAGCCTACCCAATTCACCTGTTCTGCATATCTTTGGACTGTGAGGGAAACCAAAGCTCCCGGAGGAAACCTACGCAAACACGGGGAGAGCATGCAAACCACACACAGAAATGCCAACTGACCCAGTCGAGGCTCAAACCAGCGACTTTCTTGCTGTGAGGCGACAGCACTATCTACTGCGCCACCGAGTCACCCATCAATTTCATTAAATCAATGAAAAACATTCAACTGTACAATGAAAGAAAAACTATTAAATATGTTTTTTGAATCTAACTTGAACTCCAATGTTCAGATTTGTGTGCTAGAAATATATGAAAATTAGCACATATTTCAATAAATGACACCTAATTTGCATATGTTAACATGATAGAAAACTTGTGATACAATTTGTGTACGTGATTTGTAGTGATTTACCCTATTTCGAGTGTTTTGTTTTATACCCTGGCTGGCCATTTTATTAGGTACAACTGCTCAATAACGAAAATTTTTAATCAGCCAATCATATGCAAAACACAATGCATTAAGGCATTAAATGCATTAAGGCATGTAAACATGGTCAAGACAATCTGCTGCAGTTCAAAGGGAATGGGAGATTCGCATCATGGACGTGCAACTGACATATCTTCAGCAACTCTGTGATGTTATCATGTCAATATGGACCAAAATCTCTGAGGAATATTTTCAGTTTCTTCAGTTTCATGAATAATTAAGGCAGTTCTGAAGGCAAAAGGGGGTCCAACCCAGTACTAGTAAGATATACCTAATAAAATGGCTGGTAAGTGTATGTACTTGATGTGTAATCAAAAATATGACGATAAGTTAAATGGCACACAGGCAAGACCATCAATAGCAAACCACAACCATCCAATTAATTCTGTATTAACTGGAAATAAGACCCGCCTACACTTTTTCTTCACCACAAAACCATTTATTTCAAATATATAACAAAATAGAAAAGAAGACACAATCTGAACTTCTGTTTCAAGCTGACTTTAAAGTGCAGAGCTGTGTTGTATGCCTCACTGACAGGCGTCTCCAGTGATGAACTGCATTAATTGAGCGGTCATTACCAGCGCATGAAGGACTAAATGACTCCTCGCTGCGCAGTCTAATGCTTCACAATGACAGCTCATTTATAAAGAATGAATCAATGACAGAAACACTGATCAACACACTTGTGAGGAATATGCAGACGTGTTAACAAAAATATACTTCAGTCACGTCAGCACACACTTATGATGACGCTCTGGAGGTTGCTAATGAATTGCCGTCTGGTTGCTGGGGTAGTGCTATTCTGGATGGGTGCTGATTGGTGCAGCCTGTAATCTGGTCTCTTTATGGGGCTTTGTTCCCCATAGATGCGGCGACGCAGTGGCGCAGTAGGTACTGAGATCGCCTCACAGCAAGAAGGTCGCTGGTTCGATCCTCGGCTCAGTTGGCATTTCTGTGTGGAGTTTGCATGTTCTCCCTGCGTTCGCGTGGGTTTCCTTAGGGTGCTCCGGTTTCCCCCACAGTCCAAGGACATGCGGTACAGGTTAATTGGGTAGGCTAAATTGTCCGAAGTGTATGAGTGTGTGTGTGTGTGAATGTAGGTGTGGATGTTTCTCAGAGATGGGTTGTGGCTGGAAGGGCATCCGCTGCGTAAAAATGTGCTGGATAAGTTGGCAGTTCATTCTGATGTGGCGACCCCGGATTGATAAAGGGACTAAGCCGACAAGAAAATGAATGAATGAATGAATATGAAAATGCAAACTACAGTAAGAACTTAATATACTGCAAAAAATAATAAAAATAGTGAAGACTATTAACAAATATGGTAACTAAATATGTAAAAGTAAATCGTATCAATTAATTAGGATATATTCTAATATATCAATCAACTTAAATCAACTTTTATTTATATAGCACTTTACTACAACCAAGGTTGAACTGCAACAAAGTGCTTTACACAAGTAAAAGCAAATTATACAACACAACAAAAAAGGAGACGTTGCAAAACATTTTTGGGCAAAAAATTTAATTAAAATAAAAAAATAAAATATTTTTTTTTTAAAACAAATTAAAATAAATAAATAAATAAATAAATAAATAAAATCGTAGTTTGCTGCGGTGCAAAGTTCAAGCTTGGTGAACTCTAACTTGCGAAATAGCATCACGTGACTGTGTGAGACCAATAGTAGATCAAAGCATGACCTTTCTGGACAGAAATTTAAAATATGGAGAAAATTGTTGTTTGCCTTTTTTAAAGTCTATAATCGTATTGTTTAATCCCGCCCCTTTTCGCAGAGCCGTACAACAGAATTTCGCAGGCACAAACTCTAGTGTGACCGCAGTGTGACGGTGTGTTGGAACAGGGTTGGAACTAAACTGTGCAGGGCAGCAGCCTTTCAGGAACTGAGTTTGACACCCCTGCCTTAATCTGCGCAGTTTAAAACTTGTCTACTTTTTTCCTCTGAAGTCTGCTATCTGAACACACACACACACAAAAAGAGAACTTGATTCAACAATTTTAAGTGGTTGAAGAAAAAATAAGGAAATTAATTTTTGAATGAATGCATGTAATGAACGGTTAATACTAAAATTCAGAACATTTCTTATTTGTCCAATAAAAATCAAAGCCCCCCGCGCACTCTTACTGCCATCAAAAAGTGGCTTTGAAATTCAGATTTAAAAAAAAAATGTCACCAAAAAATGTCACCAAAGAACCCACATTTTTAGGTTTTGGTTAATCTGAACTGACTGTACTGAGATTTCTGCTAAAGTAAAACAAAAATATATTACAAAAATATTACCTATAGGCCCACACGGAATCTGCGCGCGCAGAATTACGCAGATTTTCCATAGAATTCCACAGATTTTTAGCCCATCATTAATTCTGTTTATTTACTTATGTTTTTTGTTTATTTACATATTATTGACTAATATGTCCTTGTTCATCTGATTTATTTAAAATACAGTTTATAAAGTAATATTTTCTGTCTTTTAGTAGATATATTATATGAGAGACTGGCTTCGTTTACCAAATAAAGTGAATCTAATTAGAATTGCATTTTAAATATAAAAGTTAAAAAGATATAATTTTTTATTTTGGATATTAAGATTTTATGTATGATACTCCCAAAATAATTTTGCAGAAATTCGCAGATGTTTACCAATAATTCTCAGCAGAAATAGCAAAAAACATCCGCAGATTCCGTCTGTCCCTACCTATAACTTAAATAAGCCTATTTTTACATTAACACATTAAAAAAAAAATGATTTCTCAGATAGCTCTTTTATCGGAGTGGTCAAGACACGTTTTACAAGGTTAAGTCCTCTCCAAATCCAACTCCATAATTTGTCCCATATGAAATTAATGGGGTATAATAAAGTAATAACAAATTATAAATACAAATATAAAAAATACATACTGCAAGAATATGAATGAATGAATGAATGAATGTTCATATTATAGATCTCAAAGCCATTTAGCATCTGAATGTTTACAATACATTTACTTGGCTGGTTAGCAATTTGCCAGGTTAATAATGATATTTATTATTATTTTTCCTCAAAAATCACCAGTACAAATATCCAGATAAATAATAAATGGGAAGACTTTACAAAAAGGTTGTATTTGTATAATGTTACTTAATGTATTTACTACCAAGAACAAGCAACAAAAAATATAATTATATTGGAATTTGATAATGCATTAGTAAATGTTTAACTATGATAAATAAATGCTGTACAAGTGCTGTTCATTGTTAGTTCATGTTAGTAACTACACGAACTAACAATAACTAATAAAACCTTATTAAATGATAAGAAAAGATCCAAAAGCTGCTGAATAGTTCACAGAAAAAAATACACATCCGAATGCTCTACTTTCCATCAAAAGTTCAACATGGAAAGTTAAAGACTGAAAGTTGGAGCTCATCTTTTTAAACATTCTTTCCGTGTCATTTTCCCCCCCTTTTCTTCGAACCGCTCTTCCCTGACACCTTTTCATCTGTCAGCATTTCCCCCAAAACACGGCCTGTATCGAGCCTGACAATTTGATTCGGAGTCAAATCAGTCCGTTCGCCCTGACATTTTATTTCCACCTGTCCTATTCTCTCCATTTCCTCATTCTATCAATTCCTCCGCTAGCTGCTAATTCTGCCCGGTAGGTCTGGATTATGCGCAGGAAGGCATGCGTGTCAAAGGGAAATTTAGCGAGGGTAAAGACAGCCCAGATAGGAGGATGAATTAAACAGATAACGGCAGGCAGACGGAGGGAAGAAGTCGTGTCAAGCAAAACGCCTCACCAACGCTGGTCATTTTCCCTTGCCTTCTCTCTCTCTCCCTCCTTAAGCATGACAGAAAACTATCTAAATGAATAAAAAAAGTGATGAAATGACTTTGGTGCCGTGGACTTTCTGCTCTTTGACTTCCCAT